CTAGAAATTACTGAAACATTTGCCAAACATTTTAAATACAAAGACTTGAAACTTCAAAAAAAGGACTTTAAATGTTGATAGTTTTGGTTGTTTTTTTTAATTTATTTAGTTTTTTTACAGCCAGCCATAGAAGAATTTTCCTGTATCCTTATACAATAATGTGTATGATACCGCAGCCTTAATGGTAAAAATTCTGGCACGCAAAAAAGAATTAAGTTCAATTATTAGAATTTACTGTAGCCTGTAACAACACAGACGAACTGAAGCTGGGCACACTTGGGCTTTCATGGCCATGGCCTGCCCCTGTCCTTGTATTTAAATTCCATAAATTGTTTAAAACATTATCGATAGAATTAATAGCCAAAATATTGCTTCTTAACATCTGGTTCATATTCTTCTCCCAGTTATGCTGCTACAACTCTAAATTAAACTGAATACCTTACATGAAGCCGCTCCAAATTTATGACGGTATAAGAAGTGAACTTAGTTCTTTGTCTTTACGTGTCCGTATTTGCAGCCAAGTAAAATCCCATGCAGTTACGTACTCTGTGGCACAAGAGTGCCATCCAGCGGTAATTCCTAAACCTGTATTCGTCGAAGACGAATAGGTGACTAGTGGCAGGTACTGGTTATACCTATGAACCTGACAGCTCCAAACCTAAACTCCTGAGTAGCTATTGCTAGGCTGAGAGTAAAACTTCTGTTAAAGAGTAATAATTTCTCTCTTTAAAAAAAATAATCAGTTTTTCAAGATGAGATAGTTTACACAACAAATACAGATTATTGTTTACTTGAGCATAAGAACATGTTCAAGTGGGAGGCTCCTGGCCTAGCTAGGCTGAGAACCAGTATGTACCACCGTTGTAATATACGCTGCATATCAGCTAATAAACTGTGCCACTTTTCAGCCCCCTTTGATGGCAAAGCGTTACTCAGTTCTGATAAGAACTTGTCAGTGCTGATTTGAGCATCCTTGTACAGAGCTTCACCACCTGCTCTAGACATGTCCTGTGTAGGGGACAGAGTTGAGAGTGCAAGCCACCAAGCTTTGAGGCTGGTTTCAGGTGAATATTTGTGCACCCAGACATCAATGTGACTACCGATCTCTCTAATCTGCCAAGAACAGGCCCTAAATTCAGGCCCTCCACTTCCTGTATAAGTGCTTTACCTGCTCTAGCATATTATAAAAATGTCTTTTTAGAGGGAACACATGCAGTTGCAAAGACTCAGTCCCACTAACATCCATTAGAAGGGTTTGAAGATTACTTCTTGAACCAAGCCACTCTGGGGGCTTGAATGGAGTAACATAGTTTTTAGTTTCCAACTGAGGAACTGGGAGACAAACAAGTGCCCAGCTGCTTAGTCATGTTGCACTGGTACAGATATGGGCACTGACAGAGAGGCTCTATATGGCAGAGTAGCTTATTTAAAAAAACACATAAGGTGGCTCAGGAATTTAGGCATGATGCAAGGTCAGACACAGCTCACTGGGATTTTTCACTATCTCTCTTTTAGATTTAGGAGCTCAAATTTTGCCCTAAATTCTTAGGTTTTGGACTTGGTCTGTAGTCAATAAAAATAAATTCTGGTTAAAACTCCATGTATTTATTGCAGATTTTACTGATCTACTTTATTCTGTCTCACCCTCTCCCCCATCTGTAGTGTATTCCTTTGTAGTTAACAGTATCTCTTGCAATGCAGATGCGTATAAATGATTATGCCTGATTCACCTATTTGTCTGGCCTGATTACCCACAGATTAAATCATTTTGTACAATGTTCCTGTTAGTGTTCTATATTCATCTTACTTCTAAATAGTAATTAAATTATCTGGGATTATGGGGTCATGACTGCAGATAATACTTGCAAGGCAGAAAACTCATCCCAGTGAGCAGCACTTTCTGCAATGGTCTCTTGAGAAGATGCAGAAACAGGAGAAAGGATACTTTTATTTCTAGGTAAAAGTCCATTTTGATGCATTACTTGCACTACCATGTGAGGTGGGATGAGATACTGAAGATTCAGCTTGGTCCTGTGAACAATACAACAGTGGAATTTCTCCCTCTTAGTCTCTGTAACACACCAGTGGGATGCATACAAAGAAACTGATAATTTTGCATTGTTTTTATGGTCATCTACTTCTTCTACTTCACATTTTATTCTGTTCAAGAGTGAACAGGTTTGCACTAAAATGGTACAAATAAAAGATTTTACCTAGAATTGGCCTAGCCTAAGTAGTCATAGCCAAAACAATCTGAAATATTAATGAGTGTTGAAAAGAAATGGAAAACATTTTCCACTGAAAAATAAATACTTGAATGCTGAAAATGACACTAATTTTTCAGGACTAAAATTAATACGGCTTGACCTATTAATTTAGTGCAGTACAATTGCTTTGAGACGATGAAAATAAGAGACCAATAAATCAGCTACTTGCATGCTTTGTAGCAATCCTTGTATTATACATATGCAGTAAAATGAAACAAAGGATCATTTATATTTTTTAGCTCCATAGAAGTAAGAAAAAAAAAAATTGTCCTCACATATTTTCAGAAGGATTGGATTCCTTTTCTGCTAATGAAACCCATGCGGCAATCCACAATTCATTCAAAATACAAGAAAAAAAACCCCAAAACCTTCAAAGTCTCCCCTTCTAAATAGAACCCAAAAGCTTATTACCAGAAACGTAGATGTTGTTCAGTGTCTTCAGGATAGACACTGCATCCTTGCATTTATCCCATAAAATGGGACAAATCTTTTGCCAGTCCCTTCTCGGATGAACTGCCTTCTACCACGTATGATTTTATTGCTGGCTTCTGTGCACAGGTAGAGAGACCTTATCTTACCGGAATGCGAATGCTCTGCCATCGCAAAAGGCTGCAGTGGGCAGTTGCAGTGATGGGATTAACACTGATAACTTGCCCAAGTGAACCTTTCAGCAAAGATGGAATACAGAGAAAATAATAATATACATTTTCTGAAACTTTTTTTGTGGCTTGCTATTTAGGAAATGAAAAATATTGATTGGGGGTGTCTAAATTTAGTGAAACCATCAAGGTTTTCATACTTGATCAGACTAAAAATGAAAGGACAACTGGCATAATCACATCTATCCAGGGTGCAGACCTCAAAGGGTGAGCCAAACCAAAGTGCTCCCTGCAGATACATAAGGAGCTGCCACCTCCTGTTTCTGGTGTGGACAATATAATGTCGGAAATAATTAGCTAATCTTTTGTTTAAATAAAGCATTTGGAGAAAAAGCTAAAAATAAACACTGATTCATTCCTTGTCAGGGAAGTTTCTCCTGTCAATTATCACATTGTTACTGCTGTTTTTAATCTAGTCAGATGGTGAGATTGGCAATCCCTTCTGCAGGGGCTTCTGGGTGTTATTTTGTAGAGAATCTTGCTTGAAGGACTGATTTCTGCTTTTATGGGAGCCAGTGGGAGTTTGGCCACAGTCCTTCACGCATGTTAATTTGAGGGACTTCCAAATGTTAGCTAATGATCTCAGAGTTCTTTTTATGAAAACTGTGTGGGTTTGTTTTGGGGTTTGGGTTTGTTGGGGTTTTGGTGCCTTATTTGTTGGTTTGGGTTTTTTTTTAATTCTTAGCAGGAGGCAATTAAGAAGGTCTGTGGAAAGTTCTGCACTGTAGGTCTTGACCGGCCAGTAATGTCTAAAATCCTAGCATGAAAAAATCAGCAGCATATACTGCTACCGTACTCAGATATACTACACATCCTATAATATTATTGAAGGTTATTAGTTATATTATTTATATTATTCCTATAGCCCAGGCCACATGCTTTGCATTGCTATGGACTGTGTGTATCTATTGGTCTCCACTTACAGTAACTTGAAAAAGCAATTACGGTCTTTCTTTTTTAGGCGCAATACTAAGGAAAAAAAAGCAGTAGCCTCCACCCCAAAGCAGGAAAACATGTCAACATGGAAACCAGAGGCACTGTGGGTGGGGGAGTTTCATTCCCGAGTGTTTAATAAAGCCTTATGTAGCTGTAAAGGAGAAGCAGAGAGAAAATAAAAGCAAACCCCGTGGAAGTTGAAGCAGACAAGCAGAAAGCCAAGAACGCAAGTCCAAGCAAGCACTGGGGCTGTGGCTCAGAGAAAGCATACAGGGAGGGATCTTTGGGCTAAATGCTGACTTAAAAGAGCTTGGAACTGCGCGCAGAAACAAACAACTGCTCTCCGTGCAAACAGAGGTTTGTTTCTGGCTGCGTTCAGGCCAGAAACAAGATTTTACACATTCCTCGCGAATAACAGGGCTATACCGCGGCAGTACAGGGCTCCGGAGCGCTGCTCCCGGCAGCGCACACAGCCCGCAGGACTCGCGCAGCCTCCCCGCCAGCCCCACCCGCTGCCCCGCAAGGGGACCCCGCCGGAGGGCGGACCCGCTCCCGCGATCTGCCCCCGGCACCCACCGGCTCCTCCCGGAGTCCATCCCCACCCTGGGGACGAGCAGCACCGGCAGCGCACTGACCGCTCATCCTCGGGTGGAGGCCGAGCCTCTCGCTAGCCCCGGGCTCGCCACTGGCCTTGGGAGGTGAGGGGGAGCCGGGGATGAGGGAAAAGAAGGCCGCTACCCCTGCGAGTGGGGGGTGGCTCCCAGGTGCCGCTGGCGAAGCAGGACAGACCTGCCGCCCCCCGGCCCCAGCGCGGCAGCGCCCCTCGCCTCACGCCGTGCCCGGCGGCCTGAGGGGGCCCCGCTCGCGGCCGGGGACTGGCAGCCTTCTTTCCGCTGCGGTGCGGGCTGGGCCGGCCGGGGGCCGCGGACGGGGACCTCGCCGTCCTCCGAGGTTGGGTGCGTGTGTGTTCGTTTCCTGCTGGGGGGCGGGGTGCGCAGGGTGCGGAGACCGTCTATGGGGGCAAGCCTGAGGGGAGGCAGCGGGCTCAGCCACGCGGGTTTTACTCCTGGCCAAATGCCGGCTCACGAGAGCATTAATTTTCCTCTTTTGTTTTCTCTCTCTTTTTTTTTTTTTTTTTCATGTTTTTTACCTCCGTACGCTGCCAGGACCGAGCCCCGGCTGAGACGGTGATCAGCGGCTCTCCGAGAGATGAAGGTGCCGAGGTGAGGCCTGACCGGGGCACAGGGGCACCTGCTACCAACACAGCCACCAGCCAGAGCCGCCCGGGTGCCCGCCCATAAGAAGCCAGCACCTGTGGCCTGCACTGCCACCCAGAGAAGGGGAGTAGAGGGCCAGTGGTGAGGGCACTGACCAGCTCTAGTGCATCACAGCATCACAGGGAGCACCTAGCCTTGCAGCACACAGGGTTGTACTGTTGTACACCGCTGCTGTTGTACAGCTGTGTGCAGTTGTACACAAAGTTGCTTTCGTCCAAAGGTACAAAAGGAAACAAAGCATATGAAAGGAAGGAAGTAGCGTCAGCACTATGCAACCAGGAGACTGCTGGGGAAAGGGGACCTGCAACTTCCGTGGTGCTGTGCATGAGGTCTGCGGTAGGGCCAGCCAGAGCTCTTTTATCCCCGCTTCTAATTTAGGATATTCACCACCCTCCTTTTTCTCATTCCCTTTCCCACAATCAAAGAGCATAAAGCACCAAAATGCCTTCTACCAAGCAAATGACAAAGAAATGCAACCATCCAAAACCCAAGCCAAAGTGCATCTGGCTTGGGATGAATATTGGACCACATTAGCTGGGAGTGAGGACTTTTCAGAAAGCCAGGCTCCAGTCAGAAATACACCCTGTCATTCGGAGTCTGAATATGAAAACAGCTTGCAAAACATTTTTTCAGGCTTGTAACAAAAGACTTGGTCCTTCTTTTGCTCTGGTATCTAGGCTACATTGTGCAGGCTCATGCATATCACTGGTTTTATTCACATGAGTAATTCCATTTGAATTTGGAGCGACAACTTGTATGTGCAAAGTTACTCATATGCTTTCTGTCTCCTTTATATTTTGAAATTATGTGGGTTTTGTTGGGTTTGGGTTTTGTTTTTTTGTGTTGTTTTTTTTTCCATTTGCTGGTGCAGTCTAGTTACTGTTGGCATCAAGGTTATTGTGCTACATCATGGTTATTATTACTGTTTGTCAGCTTGACACCTTTGTTTTCCTTGCCAGACTAAGCCTCTCTATGCAATCTATTCCAGCAATGCAATTGTATCATCTGTTTTTATGCAACCATCTTTCACCTGACAGTGTAAATTCATTTTCCCTATAAAAGATCCTTTTTGGACTCCGTTTTTTCTCCAGTCATTACTGACAAGTCTTTCCAGTTGTGCCATCTGAGTCTTTCTCACACAAGTGTCTCATGACTTCTCCCATACTGTGTAATCTAAATTCATACTGATTCTAACATGATATCTGGATGTTTTAATATTTGCCAGCATTTGGAACATTTTATTATTCTCATTGCCGTATGCTTTCTCTTTCCTCCCTCACATTTCTTCAAGCTACAGCTTCTGCTGTTCTCATAACCTTGTAGGTCTTCTCTGTTCCATTGCTCCATGTTCGCCTAAGGGCAAAATGTCTTGGGGACAAGAAAAACACACTATCTTCCATGAAATGCAGCATTAAGTTGTAAGTGTGGCTCAGTGTTTTATTAGATGTTCCTTCTCCTCAGTCAGGGGATATAAAGAACAAAGTCAATGCATACCTTTTTTTAATGGAAGATAGTAGCTTTTCACCGATATACTCTCAGCTGTCAAGTATATGCTATAGTACTCTAATTTGTGCCTGAGGAGAGTAGGAAGACTGGGCAGCCACTGACCGCTTTGTTGACCAGAGTCTTTCTTCCTAACCTAGCAAATTTTGTGAATTAGCACAAGTAAAGTCTCCATTAGGAAATAAAGTATTTTGAAGCTGCTGCAGCAGCAGGTCATGAGATGTCAATAAGATGCATTCAGTTACACCTAAGTACGGATTCATTATATTTAATCTCCAGGGCATCTATCTACTGTATCTTAAAAGAATCCAACTAGTAAGCTTTTGTGAAATTGCCAAATGATGCCTTCCAGGCACACTGAATGCCGCTATTTCTGGGGGGAAGGGGTGATGACCCATGTATTGAAATTACCAGTTTCCAGTTGTGACAGTACAGATTACTTACAGGGAAAGGTTAAAAGGCCAAATACATCTTAGCCTGCCCTGTAACATAGACGGAGTTTCTTATTTCTTTTTCCTTAAAGTGAGAGGCCCAGGAACTGTATTTCCCAGCTTTGCCATATCTAGAACGTGAAAAATTACCTGTTCATCTCAGCTAACATCCAAAGAGCCATATTGCTGCAGTGACACCTCAACGTCAGGGCATCTATCCCAGTTATATGGTAAGACCATAACAGAAACTGAACTCTTGACATGTCTATGGATGGAGTTGCCAGCAAGACCCTAAACAACATTTGAAAAGCATATTAGATTTCTGGAATAAATATTCTATTAAGGACCAAAAATAAATAAACTACACACATTGATTATCATCACAAACTTTGGTCAGGCATGGCTGGTGTACTGGATTTATATGTTCATAATATGCTGGACTTGTGCCACCTAGAGATATGTATTTCTGGATTTTTTTTCTGCAAAATTCATTCAAAATAGGTTGTAGCCAAATGATTAATTGGAGTGCTGGAAATCATAATTAAGGTTACTTGGGGACATCTATTATTCAAAAATAATATATACTCTTTTCTATTTATAAAAAGCCCTGTTCTTAAAAAAACAAACCCAGCCTCCCCCCAGAAAAAACACCCAACCCCCCAACAAAACCCAACAACTGGATTTTTAATTTATTAAGGAAAATAAGGCATGAAAGTAATGTAATGTAGATGTATTTATTTTTTGTTAGTACCATAAACTTACTTCAGTACAGTGGCAAAGGTAATTTCCTGATTGATATACTAGAGGTGTATATAAATGTGTAAGAATCCTAGAAATATTTTAAGTACTCTTTTTTTTTTTCCAGATACCACTCCCTTTGCAGTATTTGGGAAATTAAATATTTATTGTATTACTCCAAGCCAGGTTGTATTTGTTACCTTTAAAATGAGAAATATATCTAGCACATAGAAAATACAATTAAATATATTTAGACTTCTTTATTTAATAAACTCTTATATTTATTACTTCTTAAGAATCTTGTAATAGGGATAGAGTAGTGCTACACAGTAATGAATATAATGAATATATTTTCTGAGTTAAAGCTTCTAAAAATAAAACCAAAAGAGAATATATTAATAATATCAGTTTGCAAAATTAAAATTTGGAATTATATGCAAACATATAAATTTATTCTGAAAATTTTAAACTAGAGCTTTAATACTAATGTCTGAATTAAAAGAATGCAGTGCTTTGCCTGCAGAGCTCAGAAGCAAGCAGACAGTGTTCAGAAGAGAAATTTGTGATGCTGTCATCTGTTTTGCAGTAAAGATGCCAATGCTCTCGGTGGTTTAAGGACTCCCACACTTCAGAAGTAGTAGTTATATATGTAGGTTTACAGCATATAGAAACTAATTACGCATGACTGTTCTAGAAGAGTTACCTCCTTTGAAATACCTGTTCAAAACATTCTGAAAAAGCATTCTGAAGCAGTGAAATGTAACAATGATAATGTTTAAGAATACTACCCTAAACTTGTTAAAATTCCAATACGGCTTATTCAACATTAAAGCCTTTCAGATTTTCTGTAAATTTTCAGTATGTTCACTCTAAGCTTTATTTAAAGTACCTGTCATTTTTCTGAACCCTGAAATCATGATGGAGCTGGGGCCCCCTGTTTGGATTTGTCATTTTACAAATCCTCTTTCTGTCCTTCCACTTCCCCTATAAGAAGAAATAACCGTTTTCCATCTTCTTCCTTTTGTCTTGACTACTTCAGTTGTGAGCTCAGTCATGTAGTACCTGCATATTTTACAACACATAGCAAAAGCAGGGCCCTTACTTCAACTCAGAATTCTAATAATACAGAAATATTACAGATACCCTATATTCCTAGAGCCAGTCTGCACTCTGAAGCTGAAATTCTGAAGCTGAGCACCTCTGAAAATTAGTTCTTGTATTTTGAAAACAAAACCACAGAAAAACCAAACCAAACCAAAAAACACCACCCCAGAAGCAGTTCATAACAACTTGATCTTAGGAAATAATAAAATAGGAAACTCGAAGATACTAAAGTTTATCACACATAGTAAAGCCCTGCAAGTAAATGCAGTATACTGAAGAAAAGCCTTGCCCTCTCAACTATCCTAAACTAAGTGGGTTCATTTTAAAAACTTTGTAACTGATTCACAAGTCTTCAGTCAATTTCCTCCTTATTCATGCAGGCAGTCCCATTGGAACAACCATTACACTAAAACTACCACTAAAGGAAAGGTTTCTAAGATGAGTAGAACTGGGAAGATCTGTTATTATTTTTTAAGAGCAATAACAAATAATAAGAAAATACAGTGTTCTGCATGGGGAGGTTCAAGGGTTGAGTTCAGAAAACTGGGTAATTAACAAGAAAATAAGCATACACACACTGCCCTCCCACCCCCACCCCCCCAAATATTTCCTACTTTCTTCCCCCAATATGAGTGGTTTCATATCTCATTATATTTCAGAAGGCAGATCCTTTTAAATCTGAAACTTAGTTCTGAGTGTATTGAAAACAGATGGAAATGAATCAGGGGCCTGAGGTAGAAAGAAGCTGTAATGAAGATCATATTTAAGTAATACTTTAAATAAATAATTCATTTGTCTCTGAAACCACATCTAATAAAAATATAAATAATTATATAATGAACATATAAACTACATTTCCTGAAGTAATTCCTGTCTTTCTACATTTCCTGAGTTATTTGTATTATGAAACAGTAGTGTGGTGTCATTAATTGATAAGCACTCTGTGCTATAGTTACCATGCTTAATTGCAGCTCTTTGGGTCCTTGTCTCACAGTTCCTCCAGCCGTTCAACAATTGGGATTGATTGCACAGGAGCTATTTTTAGAATGAAATAGCAGAAGAGTTTGGAGAGCAGCAGCCATTTTTTGTGTGTGTGCTGCATCTGTTTTGGGGAAAAAAAAAAAAAAAAACCCCAAGGAAAAGTTGGATAAAAATGCCCTGAGTTGTCCTTTCGGGTATTTTTGTGGAAATCCTGCTGAAGTTGGAGCTTCCTATTGGGTAACTGATCTTGCTTGTACCAAGTTGAAGCTGAGGTCAGGGTTGCATGACACAGAGGATAGTGCTCAGTGACATTGATCTCAGGAGAACAGCAGTTTTTTCTCTGGGAATGGGACTGTTCAGGTGAACAGCAGATGAACTTTGGTGAGGCTGGTTCTATAAAAAGGCAATGCAGGAGTCAAGTTTGTACTTGAAAATACCAGTGATGAAAGGCAAGACTTAAGATTAACTTTGAATGTGGTTTTTCCCCGACTCTGAAAACAGTTTGTGAACTGTGCCGTTTCAGTGATTTTAGGTCTGCTTCCAAGAATGATTTATGCTGAAAGAGTAGTATATGGCCATGTCTCACAGGGGTCAGTTGATGCCAGAAGGTGTGACTGGGAGGAGGTACCCATTCAGTTAATCCCAGATTGGCTTTTTATTATCCCACCCTGCTCGCCTGTCTTACACAGAGTTCAGCTAGGGTAGATAAACAAGTGGACAGGATTTTGTGGCTGATCTACTACATAAAATCAGGGCTGTCATCTTCTCTGAATGTTAGTATAATAGAAGGCAAGGTTTGCAGGAAGAATAACAAACATAAGTATGTAGGAAAATAAATAACCAGTTCTATAGCTGAGGTAAAAAACCCCAAACCAATACTCAAGGGGACAAGCCTATTTTACCTTTCTAAAGTATTAATAGCAAAGACCTATCATGTTTTGCACATTATATCAGGAGCAGTAATACCTTGGCACTCTCACACAGCACTGTATCAGCAAGTTTGAAAAGTTTTACTAAGAAGGAGACTCTGTCCAAGTTTAGCAGTAGAAGTAAATAAATTAATTGGCTATGGTTACACAGAAGCTTGGCAGAGTTAGGGGGAGAATCTGCCTTTCATGACGTCAGCTGCTTTTCCCTTTTCAGTGGCATGCTGTAAAGTATTATAGACACCTATAATGCGTCACTACTCCATAACTGCCAATTCTCCTGGAAAAGAGAAATGCACACCTTTGTAAATGCTGCCAATCTTGTATTCTTTCAGAGACAACATACAAAGAATATACTTTGGGTTTCTATGATAATAGCTTATGATACTAGTTTGCATAAAAAAGGTTTGAATTTGAATAGCTAGTCTTGCCAGAATATGCTGCAAGAAAATCTCTAGCATGTTTTTGTCACTGAATATATTCCAGTCTTGCAAATGATAAATTTTAGACATAAATTGGATGATAAATTAAATACATGCATTTCATATTAGTATGAAACAAAATAGATATTAAATATGACTATGTTCTGTAGCTTGTTTTACTGTAATCTTTGTTTATCCTGAAATTATGTGCAACTTCCCCTGGACTTCTCTGTAAGTACCTGAAGAGGGGGACGCAGTAAGGATTCGTCTTGTAAATATTTGGTTTGGGTATAAATAGTGAGAAGTACAGACTTCAGATATACTCAAAATATAGAGTTACACTTTCTCCAAATAGAATATTAAATATCTGACATAGCATATTGTCCCATTTTGTCTATTTTGATTTCAGGAATCAAAGTAACAGTTAAGCTGTTCATATTTTATAAAGGCTGTGTTCTAACTTTATGTTTAACAGTGAGAGAGGTCAGTAGTATTGGGGAGATACAGGGCTACAGTTCATTTGGTATTTTTAGGACAGTAGCAGTGGCGATACCCGAGAAAATTCAAGGACCTGGGATAATACACATGCTACAGAAAGCATTTCATACCATGCATGGTACTGTCCCAAGGTCAGTTAAGCTTTCTTTCACCAGCTCAGCACAATCTTGATGAAGCCAATTTGATTTTAAGGAGGAGTAGGTACCAGTTTTCATGTTCTAGAATTATAGGAGGCTACTGCTGTTCTGGCCTTGAGCTAGCTGTTGAGGCAGCACACAGTGAGTGCTTGAAGAGAGCTACATCTAAGCTGACTTTGCAGATTGAGCTCAGACTATCAGCATCTTCAATAGCCTACCTGCTTAAATGAAATTTAGAGGTGTAAAGGGCTTCTTTTTTCCCAGATTTTACATTGGCACTTTGCTGAGAGGTACTTCCTACAGCAGGGGTTGTGTAGGAATGGCCACTATGTGCAGTGCAGCAAGCTGTGAACCGGAATGACTGAGTTTTAAATACACACCTTGTCTCTACACCCAATGGAGCAGCAAACTGGAGCAGTCATGTTGCAGCTGATCTGCCAGGGCAGATCTGCCAGGGCAAATCTGCTAAACCCTTGAGGAAGAAGGTGTAATGAAAGGGCAACGAGGACCAACATGAGCTGAGAGCTACAGGATGTTACGCACTGGGATCTATATACATACACACCCAAACTAGACAAGTCAGTTATGGAAAACACTGTAACTGTGGAAGAACAAACATTACTTTGCAGTACTTAAGCGTTAACAGTGAGTCCATACTGACAGATTGTTACCCAACAAGTTCCACCCTAGGTCCTCAATAGGGCTGGAATATGGCTTTCACGGAAAGAATCTTGGAACTGGGAGACTTTGTCACCTCATTTGGTGGCATGTATCACCCTAGATATGTTATCAACACAAATGTCAGTATTTAGCCTAATGCCGACAATATTTTGTGTGTGTGTACGCTTCATAAAATGATCTACTTCAAAACAGTGATCATGATCTATATTAACGGGGATTAATAGAGGAATATTGTTCCTGGTACTTCTGTCTTCACAGAACACAGTGACATCTTGTGGCAAATGAGGGGATAGTGTTATTTTTTCGAGGTGCAACCTAATTTCAGGTGGTTTAAAGATGAATCCCTAAATAAATTCCAGACAATTACAAATTGTTTCCTTTACCTGTAATATTCACTCTTTCTGAATTTTGTTTTAAGTACAGGCTTAAGTTATTTTTTTAGCAGCGAAAAAAGAGTGAGCCTTGGTTCCAGCATATTGCAAATGTAGGGTATGGGAGTTTAGCACTTGAGCTCACTGACGTTCTTTGGAAAACTTTCAACTCCAGGAATGCTCCTGTCCTAGTCTTGCTGATATAAGACGAGTCAGCATTTCCAATGCTTTACTTAAGTTAGCCTATTATTATAGATTGCCAAAACTGTCAGGGTGCTTTTGATGGGAATGAAGAGAAAACACAGTAACCTTTATCACAAGGCAGATAGAAAAAAAATTTCTTCTTTCCTCTGATTTTTTTTAACCTAAAACTATTTTTTTTTTTTTTTTTGGCTTTTTACAGACCAAGCAGGGTTTAAGTCCTGTCCCTGGTGTTTTGGGATCCTCCCCTGACATGGCTGTCCCTTGCAAGTTGATATTTGGATAAGATTCTAGTTGTCAGCATGAAAGGAAAAACTGCACAGTGTGACTGGAAATCTGCATCCCCAAAGAAGCCCTCTCCCTGTGACCGATACAAACACGCTTGCATTATTTGTAGAGGATTTCTTTATCTCTATGGAGGACGGAACACCACCAGTCTTAGAGATTTTTGGCGATACAACATAGGTAAGTTTGCTCCTTTCGTTTGTATATCAGGATTAAAGAGATTCTACATCCAGTCATCATAAAATCTGGCACACTGTAGTTAAGAGATGAACACTTTATCCCCATATAGTCTCTCAATCAAAACGATGGCTAAACTGCATTTTGTTCATTGAGTAAAAGGTATGTATTTGTTACTCTTACAGGTATCTCAGGAAGTTCATTTCCTTTTTTTTCCCTTGACCAGAAATACTGGGTCATTTAAAATACCCTAGTTCTAACAAGGGCTGTCTTCACTCTATAGCATGGGAGTAGTTTATGCATGTGTTCATAATACACTATCAAATATGACCCTTTGTATTTTTTGGTGTTCCCTGTTCAATTGTTGCTGCTAGAGAGCCACATATAATTGTGCTGGGGTTCATGCTCATGTAATAGTTGAGTTTTGGTGCAGGTAACAGTATAAGATTAAAATAAAAGCAATAACAAGGTCAATTTCTATTACATTTTAAGTTTGCTAAATAGAAGGGGAAGCGTCTCAATATTCTGAACTAATGGAGAGGAAAGATGACAAAATGCTTCATTTTTCCCCACTGACTGATACTGCAGCCAAATCCAAAGCCAATCTTTTCACCTTTTCCCTAACATTTTTGAACTGCTGTCTTTACTTCAACTTTGGTTTATAGCGAAAAATGAATGGGAAATGCTGGATTGCTCAAGAGATGGTCCAGAAGAACTGGAGGACCATTCAATGGTGGCTTATAAGGTAGTAGACCAAGATTTATATATTGTTTATATCCTGATATTTTATTTCCTATTATGCAATTAAATAAAATGCCATAGATTATTATGTACAGAAAATACTTTTATATCAGTGCAATCCTGGATGTAGCTGTACCAATGTCTCGGATACTTTCTGAATAAAGTGACAATAGTTTAGCTTTGCAGCAGTGCGATTTCCTCAGTCATTGCTCAGTACATAATAGTAATACAAAATAAAGACCTTGGCAGCACATTCTTTGACTTAGTAGCATAGTTGTAACAGTTGCTCTGAATTCATTTGCATGATAAGCTACAGCATAAAAACATTCACTTAAGAACTTGCACTGAAGAGAGATGAGGGAGTGAAGACAAATAACAATTACAGTTTTGCCTATGAGAGGAAAACAGGATTTAGGATATCAGGAGCTACAATGCAATGAAATATTTCTATAAACATGCATAATCTAATATTACCTGAGCAATGTCTCCAAGAATTCCAGATCCACATCCCTCAAGCTGTCCTAGATTGAGAAGGCAATGAGTGCTTCTGGAATGCTGTCCTCATTAAAATAGCAGAATGTTCACCAGGGTTTCCTTCTGGGAGAAGATAAAGACAGCATTAAAAGTTGGTGGCATTTTATGATGGCCTCCTGAATTGTTAGTAGATCATCATATCCATTATTTTTAATTATATTTTGGTGATGGCAGTCTTTTCACCTAAGAGTTGTTTAAAAAATTGCTTTTATGCTATATGTGTACCTGTCAGTAAGAAATGCTTCTGTATTTTGCAGGGGAACCTGTACATTTTTGGTGGGATGGTGGATTCTGCTTTTACACAAGCAAAAACTCCTCTCTGGATATATGACATTGGTATGATATGCAATAGCCAATCTTTTCCATGAGGCATTCCAAGTCCATAGGTACTAATAAATAGTAAGAACCAAACTGTTTTCTGCTGCTTGTAACATAGTCTTCCCTAGGCTTTACAAGAAGTAATGTCTGTAAAACTGTGTGCAAATTTTCCCCCTAAAATTAGGCTGTTAAGCTATCAAAGAGTCAGCTCTTACTTTAATTAGAAAGTATTTTATGGGAAAGTTTTACGTATTTCAAGTTCTCAGAATTTCCACTCCTCCCTCCTTCCCTCTGAAGTTTACTGTTTCATCATAAACCCCAATAATTATTACATATAATATTTAAAGGTTTTTTTTTCCTTATGTTACATATATTTTAAAACCCAAGCTCTTTGTTTTATTAGGGAAGAAAGTAAATCAGTGAACTATAGATCTCATCTGGTGTTTTTACTGAAAAAAAATACACAAGCTGGCAACAGAAATGATGGAACAGGAAAAAAACAATATAATTAAATAAGAAGGTGGGAAATTAACATCAGTATTTCCTAACACAGGCCTTTTTTTTTTTCTTTTTTTCATGAGAAAAAGCATTTGGTATCTCTTAAGTATGTATTCTAATAAAAGCAGTGCAACATTTGAATTTAATAGCAATGTCATACACTATATATTCTCCATTTTGAAATACTGTGTATAGTAATAGCTGCTTATTTTGATGGCAGATGGAGGAAAGAGAGAGAGATTGAGCTCTTTTTGAGCTAGTAAATCTTGTGGCAAGACCAAGATTTAAGTTTCCTGGCTTCTTTTGCTACTTTACTATGTAATTTTAAGTTAACCTTTGGGTTTTTCTAAATCCTGTCTTTGCTTTCCACCACTTATCTGAAATACCTGCTGAAAGAAGAGAGAACCTCAGGTACAATATATTTCATAGGAAAAAGCATTTTATTACTCACAGTACTTATCAGTGAAAATCGGGAATAAGATACTCGAAATCTCTTGCATGTCTAGTTTTTTCATGGTCATATTTAAAATCTTTCCTGGCAAGTATAGCTTTTAGCACTGTAAGCTTGCACTGCTTCCCATTCTACCTCCGGTGCTGGGTACCTAGTATTTTCTCTCCATTATGGTAATCATAGATCAGTGATTTCTGACTGTTACTTGAGGACTAATTTTAAGGGATCTGTGAAAAGGAAAGAGGAAGGCTATTGTCATAAGGTTTACATAGTAAGTAGGAGCCATACATCCACCAGTAAATATGGGGGTTCTGCAAGTTCAGAAAATGCTGAAAATCACAGATTATTTCTGCACTGTGAAATCTAGCCTGAGGAAACAGCAGGTAGAGTATGATCTCTCCATGATTCTGTATCAGATAAGGATACAGAAAAAAACATTTAAGCTATGTCTCCTGTAAGTCTTTTGCTGCTGCTGCCTTACTGTGAAGCAGATTTCTTCTTGCTTGTCAGTGGAAAACGCCAGGATGAGACTTACTTGAAAATGAGATCAGTAATTTGAAAAATTAACGTTGGAGGAGTGTCCTCTTGTGGTCTGGGATATAAACTGCGCTTTATTAAAACAATCCCCTAGATTCTGCAAGATGGACAGAGTGCTGTAACGTACCAGCAGAGACTGAGGTAAGGAGCCAGGAAGTGGTGAATGTGTGAATCAAATGCCTGTTGCTTTGTTGATTAAACAGATTGCTTTGAAATATGTTCCCCCAAACAGTTCCAATCTCATCTCTTCAGAGACATGTGGCTATACTTTATTTCTTTGCACTTTGAATAATGAAGGCTTTTTCCTTCTTTAAAACGGTATTAAAAAATATGGCCCTTAAATTTTAAGGCCCATATAAAAAGGTAAGTCCTCTCCTCTACTATTGTTTTGTTTTTCTGATATCCTTATCAAGGAAGCTAATTTTAAGTGGAATATTGCAACCATACATGAAGTCTCAGCTTTTAGAAGTAGTGCTGTGGAAACAGATTGGCAGTTACACTAATAAATTTTAAAACGTGAACAAAAGAACAAACCAAACACTTTCCTTATATTTAATTTTGGCTTTAGCTGGGCCTCCCCAGATTTGGGTTCACGAGTCTCAACAGTGCCAAAAGCTGCTGTAGGTGCAGTGGGAACCACCTGGTTTTCTTCTCAGAGCCTGGACAGTCTGGGATTTGTGGTAGGCAAATTCACAAGTAACATGAGGGAGTTCCTCCTGAGACTAAAGGTTCCTCAGTGAGGAGAGGTTCAGGGTGGTAGAAAGGGCTACATCCCCCACTATATTCCCAAGAGTTGACCAATGTATTTACAACATGCCCTGAAACTGCCTACCAGTAGTTGTGAAAGCAGTAGAACTGATGGGAGTGCAGTACTCCCATCAGGGGAGGCAGTAGGTATTGTGGTGGACTTAAAAAGGGAGGGTTGCTTAGATTTGGGAATGGCTTCTATTTGCATCAATACAAGTCATCAGTGGTGGATTTATTCTGAATTTCCAAAGGAGTTTAACAAAACCCAAAGCCATGGCTTTCATTACTTGGGAACATTCCCAAGACAGACATTGCTACTGATACAATTTGATCTGTTAACAGTGTTTTGTTGAACTGTTTTAGAGCTTGTCACCAACTAACAGAAAAGGTCACAGTGCAGTAGTATACCACTCCAGCATGTACATCTACGGGGGGTACTTCGGCATCAGAGGCATTTCACAGGAGTTTTGGACTTTCCATTTTGGTAAGTTAAAAAGCATAAAGTTTTGAGCCAGTGTACGATCAAAATGATGACTACTGCAGGAAAGCATGCCTGGCTCTGTTAAATAAATTCTGATCAGTAGAAATGTTCAGTTAGTTTTGGCTTCTGTTTGACAGCATTTAATTATGAAGTCTGTCAATTAAATTAATACCCAGCTGAAATGAATTCTACTGGAAGAGGTTTTGTGGTGTTTGCCAGTTTTAGAGCTGAAAATCAGGGAGAATGTTTTGTTCACTACTCACTCGAGTCTTCAAGGATTACCAAAAACTGTCAGATGGAGCAGGGACCCTGACTTCAGCCTATTGATGCCATCTTTTGAATCTCAGATCTAGAACTGACCATGGGGAACCAAACCTGACAGGAGACGGTTTCATTAGCATATTCATCACTAATCAGATGATTCCCAGAGACTTCCTAAATGGATAACTTTTGTTATCTCGTGGCCATTCAGTCACTATTTTGAAATGAATGATAGCTTTATCTCATCCCTCATTCCCTCACAGGGAAAATAAGCATAGACATTGATGAAGGAATGTTTTTGTTGACTGATTTTTCCCCTCTCACAGCCAGAAAATTGTATTTCTGTGTCAGAGTTCATGAATTAACAAAGCTGTGGGAAAAACTGCTCTGTAAATAAGATTTCCACAACATCATACAGCAGCTGACATTTTCAGTAAAAGTTTATTTCAAAACTGATTTTTGCAATGCACTTTTCAGTGTTAGAATTTATGCTGTTAAAGCAAGCTTACAGCAGAAAAGCAAGCTTACAGCAGAAACCCTTATTCTCCAACAGCATAGTTACTTTCTTCTTGACATAAATCCCTTGTGAAATACTAGGAATATTTACTGGGTAAATCTGGTACATCTATAAATGAGTATTTTGCTTTCAGATACAAGAAAATGGTTGTGTGTTTCCACCCTATCTCCCTGTACTGGCCCGGGACCTCGGCACGGCCATTCAGCAGTGGTTTATCATACAGGCATGTACCTCTTTGGAGGACTGATGGGGCTGAGTGAACAGAAGGACTTATGGAAGTGGGACTTCGTAAGCAGCAGCTGGTCCAACATCAGAACAAGGTAAATGATACTATTTGTTACACTAAATTAGCACAGAAAGAAAGAATTAACCTTACCATTTGATACTGTGTGCAGGCAGAGAGGGAGATGTTGTCCTTTCAGTGACTGTAGGAATTTCTCAGATCAAGACATGGTACTGTTGCCACCCCCTGGGGCGCCAGTTGGCTTTGCCTGGAAGAGCTGTTGGCAATGTGTTGATGCAGCTGTCAGCAGTGCAATTTTGATGTCCCAGTGCAGCTGTTTAGTAGTCATTCTTCTGAGTCAAAAGAAAAAGAGAGGCTAAAATTAGTGTCACTTTCCTGCTGATCACCCCTTAACTGCTGGTTTCTCTTACATTTAGCCAAGGACCTCCTCCAGTGGTAGGTCATGCTTCAATAATCTTCAAAGACTCCATGCTGATTTTTGGTGGAGGGATTTCAAATTCCAGTCCTAACGATGACCTCTGGAAGTATCATTTCCATACACAGACATGGAAGAAGCTTAGCATTATCACCAAGGCAAACTTTTCTCCTAAAATGTATCACTGCATCTTAGGAATTGGTGTTGGTTTCCAAACTACTTCAGATTTCACTGATAGGTTCCCCAGCCACTGGAAGAGTAAGCAGAAGGACCATTACCAACTGGTGACCATCCCAAAGCACACTCGCCTTTGCAACTACTTCCGTCAGCAGACCGCGTACCAAGTGTTCGGCAACGAGGACAGTGATGCAATTGAAATGAAAACCTTTAGCTTGCCTCTGGGCTTTTGTGCATTGCAAACCACTTCGGAGGCAGAACTAGACCCTAACAGAGCAACAAGCATTTTTTCAAAGGATGGGTCTCTGCGTCTTCTTGTCTCTTCAGAAGAAGAGACTTTTGCTGCTGCTCAGATGGTTGGAGAAGAGGAGGGAGCCAGCTGTCAGCTCGCACCTGCAGTGGATACCGATGTGCTGCTGCTCATTGGGGGTAAACCTTTGTCCAGCTCATCTGAGATTTCAGTCAGGCAAATGGAGTTTGACAGCTTGTGATCTCTTTGATTGCAACCACAACCATGCCAGTAGGTGGTAAACCAACCGCTTGCAACTGTCTTGAGTTTCCTATGGGCACACTGGGGAAGAAGTAGTAAAACCTTCTCATACCAGCTCTGAACAGATTTTTACAATGTGAACAAACCCTAATACATATTTTAAGTTAGAACTTGCGTATAAGTTGAGATTTCTGAGAGGAGCATGTTGGAATGATGCTTTTTTTGTTACTTTTCTTCTCATCAGTGAATATCCTTCCAAATTGCAGTGGCTGATGCTGCCTTGAAAACTGGAACAAATAACCCCTACAGCTCCATAACTGCTCTTTAAGGCCCAAAGCTTGCTTATTTTGCACTGGCATAAGAAATACATATGCACTTTGAAACCTGCATTTGAATAAAGTTCGTGCATGTTTTGGTCACATTGGAGGGATTTGATGAATCTTAACAGCAATATGACATGGCCTAGACAAATTAGCAAGTGGAACATAGAAGATGCTCAAGGATTGCATTTAACCCTGGAGAAGTGAAACCATGTGTTCTCCCTCAACATCATGTGCAGCGTTAGAGCAGAGGAAGTGCATTACGCCTGGAAGAACAAAACAGTTGTCAAGCGAATGGTAGGCTTAATGCCTGAGCACAGGATCAAAAGGAGAAGAAATGAAAAGAGGAAGGCTTGACAGGAGTGGCACAAAACATAAGCTGTTCTGGCTGGTAACTCAAATTTTAGCCACAAAGAGATTTCTGTGTTTCTGACTCCATCTCTCTGTGTTTTGTCAACATACATTGTATTTGTTACACTTTCCCCTCCATACTAACAAATCCTGAGTTCATGTGTGTGGCTTGTTTTAGTATTCTGAAAAGAAAATTTTATTTTTTTTTTTTTTAAAGAGAATATTGTTCAGGATTTCAAGCATTTGTTTCCATAGAAGTTACTGACACGCTGGCCTTCTGACTGCACCTCAGCCATCTTTAAGAAGAGATCCTGATATTTGAAATACTGGAAAGTGTAACTTAGTACTTCTGAAATTTGAAAAGATCACTCGTCAGAAGTTCCATGGGAATAATGAATTTTAAGTGAGAGTGTTTACAGATACTTCCATCACCTCTTCACAAGTAACTTTCACATTAATTCAATAGGAAAATTATAGATGAGTTCACAGAAAAGCTACCTGAGAATTATTTGGACTTCCCATTGGCTTTGTTTGGAAACAGAGAGGATGGTATGTAAATAAATCCTGCTGCATTTCATGTCAGTGTGTGCTCATTTCCTGAGCTTTCATGAATTCAAAATATGTGTTTATGTTTTCAAGCAGAACAAAGAATTTACCTTTCTGAACAAGGACTGTGCTCCTACAAGCCCCAGTAAACTCATGGCACTTCAGCCAACCCAAGCTTTGAATTTCTTCTCCAAGAATGGGGAATTGCTCGGTTTGAGGAGGTGTGTTTGGAAAGGATGTCAACAGGGTGATTGAGTTGAGCATATAGAACACTGTAGTTCTAAATCAGCAGCATGTTTTTCCTTTGCTGGCTGACATGCCTTGTTTTGGCACTCTCCAGAGAATTGCTGTAACATACAGACTTTTATTTAGGGCTGACAAAGAAAGAAAATTTAACTGTAAAGGGCAACAATAAACCAGTGATTTTCCAAGTTGCAGGAAGGCTTCTTGGCAGCTTCAGGTATCCTGGGGATGTGCAAGAGCCCCAGGAAAATGCCATCCAGCCTCTGTAATTCCTTTCTTCCTCCCCCCCCAAACTCTCTTCCCTTTGGCAGCCCCACAAAGGGTTTAACATTTACTTGGAGCCAACACAAGCAGGACACGAGCCAGCCCAAAGGCAACAGCTTGGCATGGGGTGGGAAACACAGCTTGCAGAATGTGCCCATCTCCTCTGTTTCCTCCCCTGGCCTCTGCTGCCATTCCAAGTCAGGTGGCTGCGTCAGCACCTTCAGCAATCATCGCCAGCTTCTTCACCCAAGGGATCCTACACCTCCCAGACCAGCCTGATACCACAGGGGTCCTCACTGTTGCCTACCCCTGGACAGACATGAGGTGTGCAGGAGCCTGGGGAAGGGCTGTGGCTGGAGAGATAGGGGGCTGGGGGCTTGCTCGCTAGAGGCTGAGCTGCAGTTAGTCCTGATAATGCTGTAAAAATGGAGAGAGCTCCAGTCCTGAAAGTGGGAGACTTGCTGAAGCCACTGGAGACTACTTCTAACTACTACTTGCCGGCCAATTCCTAGGTCTGTAAAACACAAGGGTGAGCTCAAGCTGGAATGGAAGGGGTGCAAGATGTAAAGCAACTGCATCCCACAGCAAGGAGCACCTGGCACCTCAGTTCTTTCAGTCACCATGATCCATATTTCATGTTCTCTCCCCTCACAAAAAGGTATCCATGACCTCAGCATGCAAAATCTGCTCACAGCACTATATCCCATTTCCTGAGTTGTCTGCCCTTTCAAAACTCAACCAGTGCTATCAACTACACTTAACAGGGCTCTTGGAGCACCTCAAGTGGTTTCACTCCTGGTTTGCTGGCACCTTTTTATCCAGGTCTGTCACCTTTCACAGAGAAAGAGAGATCCTGAATGTGCTTATGGTATTTGTCTGTAACTGTAGCAGTTAATGAGAATTCATTCCCAGCCCAAGTGAGTGACTGGAAGCTGCTGCCATTTGAGAGCCCTGTGGTGGCCTACATGAAATAATGAATGGAATTACTCCAGCTAATGGCAACTATTTAGAAAGCAACCAAACACATGGTTTTTGGCTGGGCTTGGACTGAAGTGGCTCCCACTGATGTTAGCTATTTAATGTCTCTGAAAGAAAGGGAAGCTGGCATGTATTTGAAATGCCCAGTCTAGTTCAATCTACAGAATGAAAGCAGAAGGATGCAGCACTCTTCCGTAATCTTGCCTGAGGTGCGAGATGCATTGTGTCCTAAATCATATACAAGAGAACAAATGCATTGGCCTTAACCATCTCCACAAACTCATTAATTACCGTTTAGCTTCTGAACACTGAAATGCATGAACAGCAGAGGGACTTTCTTTTAAAATGCAGACATTGTAAGGATTCTTAAACTCCCCATGTTTCATTGTTTTGAATTATAAATGGATTTGAAGGACAATTCAGTGACTCAACCAGTGGAACTGTAGTTTGACCTACACAACAGATTACACCACAAGGGAAATGGCTTTCTGTGATTTCAGTCAGTAGGATGGAATTACTTCTGCTCCTTTCGGTACTTTACCAGATTTATTAACTGTTGAGGAACAGAGATGACTAAATGGTTTGGTTGCCCTTTGCTGATTTCCTAAGCATTTCACCACAGTCAGGGTTTGGAAATAGACAGTTTCCTTTAAACAGTCATTAGCACTACTGTACTTCAGACCATAAAACCACCCCTTATTGGAAATAAATGCAAGATTGCTGAGCTAGCTGGCATGCACTGCTGTCTGCATGTTGTGGAACTGCACTTGGAAGTTCAAGCCTCCTTTCCAGGCACACACCTCAGTGCTTTGACTTTCAAAACCACTGAACACCTAACAGTCCTGCTGCATGATCTCAGTTCTTCTGGAATCAAAGCATTTAACGCTTCCTTTAGCATCTATCTGTAAGTTTAGAAGCCATCTTAAGTTATGCTTTAATTGACAACAAATTAAGTTTGTAAACACATGGCCTGCAGTTCTGACATCCCAGTAAATTTATAGATCTCTCTCCAAGCCTGGTACCCTTCTCTTACATTAGAGGCTGCCAAGCAACCTGAGCATACACACACAAAATGCAGCCCTGCAGTTAATACACAGCCCGAGAGGTCCCTTGGTGAGTGCTCAGCACATGCCTGCCACACACACCTTTGCCTTAGATGTCACACATACAGCTTGTGTCCCCAGTCTCAGCTGACCCACCTGTCCTTTACTGTCATAGCAGCATAACACCACGGTGCTTAAAGATGACTCTGTGAGACTTTCACATTGATGTGGTATATTTGAGACAAAACTACAGTAGAAACATTTCAAGACTGGGTAGAGTGGACTACAGATCACAGTTTCTTGTTCCAGTGAACAGTGTCAATACAGATCTTAGTGCAGTGCCTAAAGCAGTTCATACATCACTACCATTGTGAAACATAAACAAGAGGGTGCACTTCGTTTTATAAAAAAACCCCAAACAAATAAATTATACATTGAGAGCTATTGCCAAGCTTTACATATAAAAGGTAAAAACAGAGTAGTTAGTGTGGTTTTAACAAAAAAAGGCTAGCTAAAAAAACAGTCTTACATACTTTAAAAATAAGTTTGTCCAGTTATGGGGGTGGGTGTTTATGAAGCAGAGTGCTCAAACCAAACAGTAACAAGGAGTGCATTTTGTAGGAGAATCTCACAGCTCCCTGCTGCATAGGGTCTGACACACAGCTCCACATGATGCTGAGCAATGGATCCTGGCTGCAGCAGCCTGTGGGTCTCCCTCCTGAGCACCCTGAATGAAATCACACCTGCGCTGTCTCCAGTTGGGCCTGGCAGCAAGGGCCAACACGTCCATGATGCTGATACTCAGCCAAACACATGGGGATCACACCTGCACCACTGAAAGGCCACTAGCATGGTTTATTTGGGGTTTTTTTTTGGTACAAAAGTAACGATTGTCCAGCTGCATTTGAAAGCTGTGACATTACCATGTCTAAAAGCTATCTATACACACACTACAGCCTTCTAGACTAACACTCTGTGTGCCCATAGAGCTTTAAATGCTAGCTGGCTGTGCAACAGAGCTGCTAATACTTAATCTGGAGAAGTTCTGGGTTGTACCAGAATATGTTCACCATGTGAAAAATATATCCAATGCTGTTGGTGAAGGACATGCTGACCTTAACAGTACATCTTTGCTTCAAGAAATGAGAATGGGGAAGGTGCAAACAGGTTAACAGGCAAGGGTTGAGAACAGCTTTTGAAGAGACCCAAATGTAACTGGACTGTTTGCCTGAGCTCCTCTAATGGTGCTGCAAATTTTCTTGTCAAAGTTGTGCCCAAAAAATTGTCCAACAAATAGCTTTTACACAGCTGCCTTTGATAAAGTGTACATGGAATTTAATCAAGCTAATTCATGGACCATGACAGATTACCAGGTAGGTAGTTATTTCATGTCATTCAACTCACCTGATTTTAAGCCCTGTTACTGCTGAAGAAGATTCCCTTAATTCAAGTGTAAGAGGGCCTGAACTTCCACACTTCAATACCTGTTCCACTAGCTCGTCAGATCATCACCACATAGCCAGCATGTGCAGATGCTCTGGTCTCTGCCTGTAGGACCAAGCAGGTGAGCCGGAAACGCCGTTCTAAGATCAGCACCTCCCCAAGATTCAGCAGTTTGAGATAGGGACTAGGGTGTTTCTGTTATTGTAAATGTTAAGATTTCTATAAAACCTTTTACTCCACTTACGGAGTTTTGCTGGAGTAAAATCACTTTAGATCCAATCACTTGTGTTTTTAATTTATATTTTAATCATAGAGTTAAAAAAAGCATCTGTCTGTGATGAGTACTGCATGTGCACACAGCAAAAGGGTGCAAGGCCAGTTAAAGGGGGCAGGCTGGGACATGTGTTAGTAAGTCACTAGGGAATAACTTTGTTGGGGGAAAAGAAAAAGAAGATACTTTCCTCTCTTTTTTTTCTACCAGGAAACTGGCTTTTCCCAAATGCCTCCAACAGAACACACATTCATTCCCTCCTGTCAACTTCTCCAGCTCTGAAGAGGTTGGCAGTCCTGCCAACATCCAACACCAGATTCACACACAAGTTTTATTTAGAAACCTCTTTAAATGCATTCTAAAAAATGAATTTTAGATGATTGGACCTTACAGCCAACCAATCAGTAGCAGAGCAATGGTGAGAAAATCCCTTTTCCTCAGTAGCAGACAGGCATTCATTAACAGTTATTAGCACTAAGTGTAGGAACTACTATACCTGTTTGTCTGACAAGAGTAACAATGCTATGCTACCTGGTGGCCAGTCACCACACAACACTGTAGTTTTAAAGCAAAACAGTGATACTGAAGTACAGGGTGTTCAGATCACCCAGCTGTGATGCCTCAGTCTCACCAGGCCCCCTATGTAAGCCATTATTTGGACTAGCTAAATAAGCTATACTGAGTTAAACAGAGTATTTCTTCCACCTATAAGATTTCACTGGAAATAACTGTGTTTGCAGCCCCAAATCTACTAGAAATGGCAAGTCCCCGGTTTAACAGCTGAAAATTTTGAATTTTTAAATAAAGTTTCAAATACCAGTCCTCTGAAAATTTAGGAAAACCCTGACCCTTTGAAATTTCTATGTGTGTGCACACGTGTGTAAATACAAATTCCCCTCCAATCAACACCATCTCACCCATGCTGAAACAGAAATCTTGGCTGCTTGGAACCATTTAGATTTTAGGGGGACACACTCACCACACAGGTTATTTGCTTGCTCTCTGCTGTATGGGGCTGCTCAGGGGGAATCCAAGGATGGTGTTCAACATGCAGTGCTGTAAAGCTGTAAGCTTCTGCTATTCTACTTCTGGGAGCAATTCAAGCTAATAAACAGTTCACAGAGCTCCTGAACCCAATGGGAACAGTCAAATATCAAACATGCCTTAAAGAAAATGCTGCTGCATTCTGTCTATTTACAAAACCAACACATGTAGCTGGCGAATGCCAACTCAGCTGCTGAGCAAACAGATCAACAGCATGTGCCAAGTTTCCCCACACAGTCCTGGCTTTGTGCAGGAAGCATGCTGTCGCAGCCATAGCTTCCCTTTTCCTGCAGGAACTTTGCTGGCAATTGTGATTTTAATCCAGACTAAGACATCTGATATTTGACTTGGGAACCCTCTACATTTTAATGTGCAACAAGGCTCAGACTTAAAATTATAAAAAGAATCCAGTACTCAACAGGAAGTAACACCGACTGAGCTGAGTGGTGGGTGCACAAGAACTCCATTGAGAACAGGAGCTCTGCTCTGGCTGGTGGTTCAGGGAGCAGGCAGCCCACCCACACAGAGCTTTAGGTGCTGGCTGGAGAGGGGCTGAAAAGCCTACCCCCAGTCTTGAATCCCAGTTCTTGAAGCAATGGCTGCAAATCATAGTTTGCAGAGAATCACTCTGGCATGGTGGTCCCAAGAATTCCCACAGTACCTGTGTTTCTCTATTAAGGCCTCAGGGGTTTTGAGGAGTGGCAGTGGGCCATGTAAATACCATGTGGCTTCTTGCTTAATACTCTCATTCAACATTTTGCAAACAAGAGCACAAGAGCAGCAGTAAGAACGCCCCAGTCTGAAAGAAGCAGCCCAGCCAGGTACCAGCTGAGCTGCACAGTCCACAGTGATTTGGTCCACATCTGTGTCTACACTGAGACACATGCATGTAACCAGTGTGCAGAGGTGAAGCTGTGCATACGGGTTCCAGAACCAACTGTCACATTCAAAATTGTTTAAAAAACCCACATGTATATAAATATTTATAAACAGCAGCACTGTGCAGAAAACATCCTTTAACCCCAGTGCTATGTACAAACCTCTTCCTAAGACAGAACCCAGTTGTTTCACCCATGTTCTCCCCTGTTAGCAGATGTGGAGGTTTACCATTGGGCTTCTGTATTTCTCCTCCTTCTGATTCTGCACTGACCTTTTTTCACAGGCTGTACCCCCAGAACTCACATGCTTACCTCTCCATATCCACGTGGAGATATTGCTACCCAGGATTAAAACGATCTCTTCAAACTGTAGACGTTTTATCCTGTACTTCACTTGAGCACCAAGAGGCCTTCACCAGCAAGTGCCCCTACCTTTGCTCTGCAACGGAGTGAATTACTTGCAGGAGCTTTTAATCTTTTTTTTCCTGTTTTCACTTTACTCCTTCTTTTCTTTGTTCCATACACAACTACTAGATAACACTCGGAACAGGATTCATGCTGGTGTTAAGAACTGATCTAGTTGTACCTGCACACTGCTAACATACCTGATAAAAGCATTCCCAAAGCACAGCATCTGGAAACAACATCCAGAAACAGTATTAATCGAAACAAGAAAATTGTTTTCCTTCCTAGTCCTATATGACAACAAAACTAACCAATAAGCAGTTCCTGAAGTAAGCTGTACTCATACCTTCACTGCTTCAGCATTTAAAACAGACATACCTCTAGCCTAGAACACGTGTATTTGAGTCATACAGGAAATGAAATAATCAGCGTCAAAATGCGGGACCTCTGCTGTAGCCTGCTAATGCTAAAAGTTGTTTGGCAGGTTAATTTTCCTTTTCCTGGTTGCAAATTGCAGCTCAAATCCAGTCAGCACAGTTGGTCATGGATGGACTAGATTTTCATTCTTTCCAGGTACTGTAAAAAGAGGTGCAAAGATTATTAGGGGGTTTAAGGCCAAAAGGAGAGTATGTGTTGGTAAAACAAAGGAAAAACAGTGTATAATCACACAGAAGAAAATGTCCTTGGCTGTATGAAGCAGTCATCAGTACTGTGAGCATACTGTGTACATAGCATGGCCACGAGGTGGCCCTACAAATTCTCCTAATCTTTCCACTGTTAATCTAGAGAGATCAGGGATATGTGCTCACACTTCTACACTGTGCTCGCACGCTACAACACTAACATCACAGTGAATGCTTCCCATTAACACCTGAGAGGCAGCACAGGGTAAGTAAGACTAAACCTAGCGTGAATGGAACACAACTAGATTCTGTTCCTCATGTTCAGAATTAGTTCCAGTGTGGTACTTCACTTCTCCCCAGGGAGAAGATCAAACGTGCATTGGTTTTACATTCCGATTTTGACTGTAATTCCAGTTAGATTGTAATAAATGTAGAAGTCTCTTCCTGGATCCCAGCAAACCAGCAGGCTGTTTGACTCCTGTTCAGCAAGAATCCAAGCAAGCCTTCTTGAAGGATACCTTGCAGATGTGTTACAAGATTTGAGTTTTTACAAGGTGGGAAGGTGCAGAAACTCCTCCTTCTAGAGTTCTGTGGTAAGTAAACACTTTGTTCTTATTGTAGTATCCTCAGAAACTGGGCTAAAAGGTGGAAAAAAATAAAAGAGGTCCAGTAAATACACTCCTCTGTCATGACTCATTAAAGAGGAGTATTGTTGCAAAACACATTGTGCAAAACACAGCCGTTCCCCTTGTAATTTAATGAGATCAATCCCCCTGCCACTCATCACCCCTGCCAATCCTGACAAGTACTGGAACACTGTAATGACATTTCTCTGAAAATTCACTTGTACCATCATTTTAGTCCAGTACTAAAACATGTTAGTGGACAAGGAAACAAACTGAAATGACAACTAAAAAGAATCGTTCAATTTTATAGCTCTTACAATGACACAGGCTTACCTCAAATTCCAGCTAAATTTGTATGCTTTGTTCTTTTACAAACCTGAATTTCAGAAAGTTTCCTTACGCTTCAATGATATACAAAAATATACACACAGCAGCTGCTCTATTTCTTTGTAAGATTTCAAATGCTGTAATTTAGCAAGACAGAACTGCAGCTTGTAAGCACAGCAAAACAAGGTACTCTGTATAAATGACCACTATAACTGTTTAAATGGAAGTAGTAAGAGCACAAGCTTCCTTTCTAACCCATACAGACTTCTGAAGTGAGTGCTGAGGACACCTTACCTTGCAAGGACTTCGGATGTCTGCTGGGGTGGTGGCAATCCAGCTGACAACAGGGTCTCCATGCTGCCTTTCACTGCCTTCATAGCTAAGGCAACATCATTTCCCAAAGGTCCATTGGGAGTAAGTCCAGTCTGAATTGGGGAGAATGAAACAGAAAACTGAAATAAAAACCTGCCAGGACAAGACAAGCTAATCATAGACTGGTTTGTATTGGATGGGACCTTAAGACTCCCTGCCATGGGCACTGATGCCTTGCACTAAATCAGGTTGCTCTAAGCCCTGTCCAACCTGGCCTTGAACACTACCAGGGATGGGGAAGCCACAACTTCTCTGGGCAACCTGTGCCAGCACCTCACCACCCTCCCAGTGAAGAACTTCTTCCTTGTATCTAATCTGAATCTCATCTCTTTCAGTTTAAAGCCATTCCCCCTTGTCCTGTCCCTACCTGTCCTTGAGAAAAGTTCCTCTCCATCTTCCTTGTTGGCCCCCTTTAGGCACTGGAAGGCTACTCTAAGGTCTCCCAGGAGCCTTCTCTTCTCCAGGTTGAACAAACCCAGCTCTCTCAGCCTGTTTCCATAGCAGAAGTGCTCCAGCCCTCTGATCATGTTTGTGGCCCTCCTCTGGCCTCATTTCAAGAGATTCACATCTTTCTTATGTTGGGACCCCAGAGCTGAGTACAGTACTGCAAATGGGGTCTCACAAAAGCGGAGTAGAGGGGGAGAATCCTCTTCCTTCAACCTGCTGGCCACGCTTCTTTTAATACAGCCCAGGATATGTTTGGCTTCTGGACTGCAAGTGCACATTGCTGTGTCATGTTGAGCTTCTCATCAACCAACATCCCAAAGTTTATATATTAACAGAATATATGCGTTATGCGTTGTTTATTTACTCCACCTGAATCTGCTTTATTTCTGGTCTAGTATGTTATTTTGTGGGCTTTCAAATTATTAAAAATTATTATATTTTACTATTTTACTTGTTAAGGATTGGTCAGATAACTCACTGGCACTATCCACCTTGGTGTTATCATGGGCTGGGAGGACACCTACAAAAAACAAATGATCATTAGGAAAGGTTGGAAGTAGCTGAGAACATTCTAAAATACTGCCTCCCAAGGCAATCCTGTCCCCCACATCCATCTCCCGTAGTTGTTTACTGCTAGTCTTTGAACCACACTAGTGATGAGCTACAGATGTGACTTCGTACCAGAAGGTAAATAGCACCCACAGAGCATACAGCTAACACCCACTCACTCACAGAAACTCACTGGGAGCAGTTTCAGCATAGTACTCCCTTCCAAAGGCAACTGAATCCATTATCTTTTCCTGCTTTCTGAACAACATTTACCGAGAGCACATTTCTGTGAACAGTTCAGATGTCCTACTCTTCCTTGCTTTTTGGTGCACACAGTAACATTTTTTTTGCCAGCACAGATTATAAGATATTTCTTTACCTATGTAAAAGGGCTGTTTTGCATTAAAATTTATTTTTCAAGCATTTATTTTTTTTATATATATATATATACACACATATATATGTCTCTCTATGTGTATGCACATTTACATAGAATTTCTCAAGTCTTATATATACCCAGAAGCCTGAGAAGCAGGCTGGAAGTCACAGCTATGCTAAATACTATAGGCTCTTGTGGCACAGATACAAATTAACTCTTCAGGTTCCTTCACTCCCATTACAAAACTGCAGTGTTCACAACCCTACGCCAGCCACTCAAGTAGGGCAGCATATATACAATGATCCAGGTCAGTCACCACTTCACTCAGAACTGCAGAAGATCCAAGCCCGCTTGACAGATACTAGAGCCAGAGGAGAGTTCATGAGTAAAACCCACTGTACATTTGAAGGAATAAGTCTGATTTTGAAATACATTTACCCGAGGTGTGGCTTCTGTAAAGTCAATTAGATTCTCTGTCAGTGATGTTAAGGAAACGTCATGGTCATCTGGAGTGCTCTAAGGAATAAATCAGTTTTGAATTGAATTCCCATTAGTAACCAGACAGGTCTGCTGAATAATCCAGTGGCTTCCCAAGTTATGTTAAGGAACTTAACGTTATGTCCTTAATGGAATGCCATGGTTTATTAGGTCTGTTCTCTCAAATTTTTATGTATAATCTTTTTCAATAGCCTTTTTATTTTATTTATTCTCATCAACATACTGGAAACAGCGTCAAGCATCAAATCACTGGGGTATAAAGGGCTCCCCACAAGTGTGAGGAAAACAGTTGGTTTAGAAAAAGAAGTTTCAGGCAAAAAACCTGAAACGACACTCAGAAATGGCCTTTGGAGAGATCTATACAGTGACCTTGCCTGCTCCAGAAAGCACTCTGGCATTCACCAAGACTGGTATTCATTGAGTTATAAGAGGCATGCAGCAAGGTCTGCTGTGCTTGCCTGGAGGCATCAGGAGCTCAGAACATGACACACAGAAACCTTCCAGGCTGACAGGTGGTGATACCTTTGAAACAGCAGCCTCCTCAGGTGGAGCCAGATTAGCTGGAGTCAGCAGGTCCTCATGGTTAGAGGCAGAATTGTCCTCATTCAGTGCATTACTGAAAGGAGAAAACATTCTTATCAGCACACTACCTGGATAGCAAGAAACAGAGCTGCTCCTCTCTGATAGCTCAACCCCAAAACTGGACACCAGTTCTATGTGTGGCATACTTGTAAGCATGCTGAAGAAAATGCCTTCCAACTATCTCTGCAGATTACTGCTTTCTTTCATGTTTCAGCTACAGCTGTGTATAGACCCAACAGTTATCAGCATCTTCTATCTCAAAGGAGCTTCTTCAGCCCTTGTTCCTAATTCGCCTGAAGCCTTCCCTGCCATGCTCTTACCTTCTTCTTTAGAGTCAGAGCAGCAGTATGTCAAGTATTTCAGTCCTTTCAGAAGATGAGAGAGATTCACTCAATGCTTGCTAGGATACTCACCCCGAGGCCTGTCTTGTATTGATCAACTGGTGCAACAGTACTTAAAGATGCATTTGTCAACCTACTTAGTCAGATGTAGCCTAGAAGCTCAGCAGCTGTTCCTCATATTTTCAGACCTGTTCATGCTAATCTCCACATGGTTCCTTTATCCCAGAAACACATTTCTCCTGAATCACTTATAGAACAAAGGTGTTTGAGGCAGGGATTGCATTCAGCAGCTCTCCTGGGTCCTGAAATACTGGACTGGTTGTTGGGGGACTACTCCATGTTTTGCCTGATGGGATAATGTTCCTGGCACAAAACAATACAAAAGCCCAAAACAAAACAAGTACAGCCTTCCGTGGGAGGCTATTCATGAATCACTAGTTACAGCATACTTTTGAGATGGCTAGATGTATGTTTTGTTCACTATCCCCATATGCTCTTTGAGGTCTGACACACGCTTATCTTCGTAAGTGGTCAAGAAATCACATGTTGTAACTAACTTTTTTCAGTGCGTGAAACACCAATTGGAACTAGCAATCATTTGACATTCTGTAATTCTCAGGAAACCAATTGTCAGTTTTGCACACAATTTTTTTCTCCCACTAGAAAACAGCTACTGTAAACAGCCCCACCCCCTCTCCCCACACTGAAGTTCACAGGTCAGAAATAACTATAGCTATTGAAGCTGCTGTTGCAGTGATGTTTATCAAATTAAAATACAGGCAAATAAAGAGTATTTGGATTACCTCGTATGTAATAAAACTTTGCTGATTTTCATTTTAAAACCACTTCACACTCACCAGGTAAAGCTACACTACGCAAGGTAAAATGCAATGATTACTGAACCACCAAAAGTCCACCGTGAACTGCAGGTTCTCAGTGCTGTACTTGGGTAACTAAATCATGTTTCTCCCAAATCTATTTAGTACCTGGCAGTGGCATCCTGAACATTGGAATTCTTGACACCTGTCACGCTGTCTTCTCTTATGACCTGAGAAGAAAAAAAATGAACAAAGATACAAATTGCTGATACCTGTTTCCATCTTGTGTTGGTTCAGAAAATCACAGAAGGGCAGAGTGCCCTCCTCCCAGCATGAAACTATGTTCTTTTACTGCTCAGGGACTTAAAGCATCAATTCGATGCAAAACCCTCAGTGCAGAAATAAAAATAACTCACCAACATAGCCAAATAAAATACCACTAATTGCTACAGAATCTACTTGGACATGCTAGAAGCAAAGGGCTAGTCACAGAATCACAGAATACATCCTTGGTTAGAAGGCAACCTTTGGAGTTATCTGGTTCAGCAACCACTCAAACCACGGCTTGTTTGGGGACCTGTCCTGTTACACAAGGATGGAGTTATCACCAAGGATGGAGTTATCACCAAGGATGGAGTTATCACCAAGGATGGAGGAGGTTCCTCCTTGGGCAACCACTGTTCCAAAACTGGACCACTATTATTGTGAAGAAAGGCTGGAAGGCTCTCTTTATCCTGCCTTGGACTTTGGCTCCTGCAGCATCCTTATCTGCAAGGCACCTTCTCCACCACCAGGCAATTGAAGAGAAATAAAACATTTGAAAACATCACAGTCCTTATCAGATGAGTATTTACCTTGTGCCCTGCTTCTGCCTGGGCCTTCAGGATATTACTTTTGATATCTGCTGGAAGCCACGTTGCTGCTACGATTGGGCTCTCAATTGCATTGTTAAGACATTTATCTGTCAACTTCACCACTTCATCCTAGACAGGAAAAAAAATCTTTCTTAGAAGCAGTTCCCACATGGAAAACTCTGGGCTGAAATTTATTAACATCTCTAAATAACAACAATGCTCTGAGTAAGGGGAAAGTCACCAGATTTATATCAAAATGAAAAAGCAACCTCCCCCTTTATTTTGAAACTCCGTTGCAAAGTCACAACAAAACATAAAGTTAAAAAAAAGTACAATGCTTAAAAGTGAAGATGTAAAGTGTTGTGCTAAAAATGCAGTGTGTGAGAACTGGAGTCTAAATTTGCAGCCTAGTTTACCTATAAATCAATATAGCAACCATCATATTTTATCATACCAGTAAAGCCTGACTATAAATTGATAATTTACCCTGAAATGCAAGTTGGAATGTTTTTAACTTAAAGTCCACTTAGAACAACAGTTTAGTGTGCTGTTAACTACCTCTTCCATCACTGATGATATCAGAACAAGCTAGCAGGCAGATACATAATGAAGACAATTAAAAATGAGATACATAATGAAGACCATTAAAAATGAGATACCTTTCACTACAGTGTATTTCATTATGTGAACTGCATTACTTAATTACAAAACATTAATTAAGCATTCAATCTACTAATTGCTATTTGATTAGCGACAGAAGTTAATCAGCTGAGTGAACACTAAATCTTGTGACCTTTCTTCTCAGGATACGGTTCAGCAGGGGGAGACAAGAGTCCTACTTTCCTCACCATATGCCTGGAAGCTGGCTGAGGCAGGCTCTTTCCTGGGGGCCAGTGCTTCACCCCTGCAACACCCCCCCCTCCCCCCCCGGGGCAGGCACCCCCTGCTGCATTCCCACGTGTACCAACAGCAGCGTGTCAAGAAGCAATGAAGCCCACTGCATAGAAAGCAAGCAGGGGAGAGGAGTTACGAGAGGTGAACACCTGTCCTACACACAGCTCTCCATAACCTTTTAGCTTTTTTTCATTCACTGGCGTGAGAACTTCTAAGTATTTAGCCTTTAGAGAGGGGGGAAAAGTTTCCTTTTCTCGTTTCCCTCTACATTACCTGTCAGGGTATCCAAACAGGAGCTTACGAGACTCTAGAGGAGAACCTTTTTAAAATTCTGACTCCAGTCAGCAATGAACTCTGCAAAATACTTAAGGCCACTGTCAACGTAAGTGCTGACATGACCAACACAAGTATGAGGAGCAACACCCAGTGTTGCTAGTGACTATTGCTAGCAGATATTAAGAGACACACCTTCCCATAATTCATGAAGACAAACAAAATAATTAATGTTTAAGTGTTTTTATTTTAGAGAAGCTGCTGAAATTGCCAAAAGTCTGGAAGAATTATAACTGAATTATTATTACCTGTATAGTCGCAGTACCCAAGTGCGATAACCCTTAAATACTTACACTGGACCCTGCTGAAGCAGATGGTTTACACAAGTCCCTCATAGAATTCCTAAGGCACTATTCTAGTACCACTGATAGAGTAAACTTGATATTTTAACTGAACACACCACTATGCTGGTGCTTTAAAAGCACCATGTTGTGGTTTAACTTCCTTTCAGCTTTGTCCACCTGAACAAACAGTTTAATTAAGCTGCTCTAGGTTGTTAGTGATTAGATTCCCAACTTTTAGAAAAGTTTAGTACTATTAAGAAATATTTTAATCAAGTGTAAATTCTATTCAATATTTTCATCAATATTGAAGACACATTTTTATCAATCCTTTCTATTTTGTGCCTGAAAAAAGCACTGGTGTTTTACTGTATTGTGGGCTGTTTTTTTTATGAAAAAAGTATATAGCTAGAGGGGAAAGCATCGGGCACCTGAGAACACCTCAAGATGTTTCATTTACAAGACAGCTCTGTTGTTCACATAAACCAATAAAGCTGCTGGGTTCATCAATATTCTAGTTAATTCAAATTGTTACTGTTTTCATGTACCAGACAAACTATATTCGTACTCAATTACTCAGTTAAAATACGTAGCTACACAGCAGTGTAAAAAGGGAAGGAAAAAGAAAGACTAAAGACAGCAACAGGGGTGTGTGATCCCAATCCTTTGTGCTTCTGAGCAGCATTCCTGGTGCCACTGAAAATCACTGTGTGCACAGAGATGGGAGTCTAATACAGACTAATTCTGGAACAATTTCCACATGTTTACAGATCACAACAAATTCAGAAAAAGAAAACTCTCACATCCTCGCATTCCTGACTCCAGAGTAGACTTCAAACACGAGGAAAGAGGGTGAACTTTTTATTGCTCCTTTCACTTCAGCAGCTGATGAAAGCTGAGTGTGTATTTAAGAGCTATTTGCAGATCATTTTTGGCAGATCTGGTCACTGCGCTAGAGAAAGCTGGGAAAGGACAAAGTCACATTCTTCCATCCCAACAGAATTTGGCAGGGAGTAGTGGTGAAGAATGAAACACTCATTCTCCCCCTTCCCAGTTTTCATTCTACAAAGATTTCTCTTTTTTCCTGAAAGAACATGGATAGCTAGATAAATATTTCCCTATCAAAGAAATCAATCCAGTTTGATTGATTACAAGTATTGAATTAATAGAGATGATTGTCATGCCATCTCTGACCCCGACAGAAAATAGGTTTTAGTTATTTTTAATTAACAAAGGTAAAATAAGCAGTTTGTTGGCATTTGACAGTGCCACTTACAAAATTCAGGATACAGCTCTGCCCTCATAACTGAAAGCTAATGCTTTACCATGATGCATTTTACCAAACCCTTTAGGTACTGTAACTGCCTCTACATAGCAGGTATCTCATGCACTGGTAAAACTTAAGGGAGACAAGATATATTGAAATCTGTAATCACACACTTTCAGAGAGAACGCTTTAAGACTCTGTTCATTTGAAGCAGCAGCAAGTTCCAGGATCGAAGCTCATTGCAAGGTTTTAGTGGATATATTACAGTCCCAGTCAGTTCAGTCAGAAGAACATGCCATAAACACCTCTTTCACAAAGAGATTAAGAAAAGAAGTGCAGGAGGAAAGCCAATGGGTACAGTTTTGTAACAAACTCTACAAGTGGAAATATCTATTTTTTCTAAAGCAACCTTCAAAAACAGGACAAAAGTGGTTTCAACAGTTATTCTTAGGTCACTCTTTTCAGGACTGCTTTCCAAACCCTTAATTTTCATCTCTAATCACAACTGGGTGTGCTCATTTTGTATTACTGTAACCTACATGTTTTTGCAATTTGAAACACACAGAATTTAAAGTATACAGAGACGGTCTCTAATCTTTGCGTACCTTTTTAAACAAACACTCAAGAGAGCTCTTGGTATGCTACATCATAGGCTGAAAACCTTTACTCAGTCTTTTCTACCTGAGGAAAACACTGATTATCTACTCTTATATTTTTACAACATGATTTGAACTTCCTTCTTGAAAGCTAAAGTTTTGTTTACCCAAAAGAAGAATCACATTGGCATACCACTGATCCATCACGTATTTCTCAGTTATGCAAAAGTTCCTGCTCTCTAATCAGGTTACTATCACCCCAGCATCTGTAACCTCTAACACCCAAAGTTACTTGGCTCCTCATATGACAGCAGCTGGATAACTGCAACTGTACTGTATTGGCAGCTGTTTATTACATTAGTTCCTTACAGGAATCCTATCTTGCTTACTATATATCAGCCACGATTTAAAAAACACTAACACACACCTGCTCCACTCTCTCCATTTAACCAATTAAATGCTTTTTCCTCTCTCTGTCTGAACTAAAATGGAGCTCAACAGGCAAAAATATTCTGAAATAAACTGTTCATTTGTTTTAGTTTATGTGGAGGAAGTGTTTTGGCATAACAGGACCTACAGGCTACTGACTAATCTTCTTAAGAGACTTGTTAATCTTTGTAATGCACTCACCTAGCAGAGAGGTGCACAAGGCATCCCTGACAAGTCTTTAAAGGGGACATGAGCCAAACTGCCTGCAGCACCAAGCACACAATGCAGCAGCCCTCTCTTAGACAAAAGGGGAGGACAAACATTTAGGAATGGGCTTAGCCCAAACACATACTGCTAAACACTTCTTGTGGCACCTGGTTCATTTTATTATTGAAGCAGCAAGAAAAATCATAGCTATTTCACCAAAAGTTTGATAAATCCTCAGGCCTCCCTGCAAGGTAGGGTAGTACACCCAGAGGTAACACTGCCAGGTGTTTTACTTTCTTTGCTTGTTCAAAGTGCAGTGAAGCACCTAAAGCTTTAACACCAGGGAAACAGAGTAAGGGAAATCTAAATTACATTTTTTTTAAAGCTCATTAAAAACCCCAGCATCTGGCATAGGTGCAGTAGTCTGACAACCAGTGAATCTATGAAAGTTCACTGCTGTTGTAAGGGAGGATCGAAGGAGAAAAGAGCCCTCATCCTGTTCAGGGCACTGAAGCTATTACTTCAGCTCAGTTGCCTGTGGAAATGCAGCCTGACTTGCTCCAAAGCATTTATGAGAGCACTCAATCAAATCACATCACTCCTCTCCAAGTAAACATAAAAAGCACTAGCACCTACTTCAGAAAGCAGGTAAAAACTGGTTACTTAACAGGAGGGATGGACCAAGCTTGACTCAAAACATCTTCAGAACAATTGCTGGGAGGGTTACCAAATGGTAACTGAAAAAAAGTTAACGGGAAAAAAGAAACAGGAAAGCAGCAAACCTCCTTCATAAAGAGGACATCATGGAGTTACATAATGTACAGATAAAGATAACTGAGGAACATTTCACGCATTTATGCCTTTTACTCCCATGGATTTTGGAAAATTTCACCAGGGTGCAGCCTGCACACACGCATTTGCAACTCTGCCCCCATCTTTATCGCACTGCCTTGTCACACACAAGTTTATATATAACAAAGAATTTGTACTTTCTTTACTGTCCCCCAGTATAACTCACTCATACTCTTTAAAATCTTGCAAACAGCCCAAGGTAAGTGCAAGACTTTTCAGAATGATCTAAACAAAGCTCAGCGATGCAGCCAGGAGGAAGGAAGCCCAAGTACCTGCACATTTATGTTCACGTTGGGACGCTCCGGTGGCACAGGGCTGATGTGCTCTGTCTCCAGTTGTTTCAGCTTTAGGAATGTATCTTCAAATGCTGAAAAAAGACAAAAAAGATATCAACTTCTTAATGTCATGATGGAGCTACATGACTTGTAATTTGCATTAGTCCTGAACACTAATTCAATGGTTTTAAAGCTTTAGGGGAAAGCACGGGGATAGGAAAAGCTACTTGCTCAGCCTTCAATGAAACTTCCAAGCCTACAGACTGTACGTACCTAATCACAACACTCTGTATCCCTCAAGTTCATTAACCCAATCATCCTCACAAAGAATGAGCAAGCAGCAAGAGCTAATCGCTCAGATGGCTGCACTTCACTGTACTGTGGCTGAAATCAAATCCCATGAAGAACTGTGATTTTTCCTTGTCTGTGGAAATGAGTTGCTTCCAGTTGAAACAGGGAGAGCTGACTGACTTTGTTGTCCCAGCTGTGGGTAAAACTGTCCTATGCATTATAATCTCAGGGAGTTTCCTAAAACACTTCTGGATTTTGGTAAGGAAACCACCTCATAACAACTTAATCATTTAACTGACTCCACACATCATGATAATAGGAAAAAAAATATCAATAAGTTTGCTTACAATCAGAGTCTGCTTTTTCAGTAGCAGCTTCCTTTGTGCCAGGATGGGGGCAACTAACAGCCTCTTCTGAATCTCCTATTGCCAAGCCAACAACTGGACGACCTATTGCATCATCAACACAAGTTTCTGGCAATTCCATGCTGTCTAGCAAATCAACAAAAGGTATGCTGCAAAGGTAGAAAGACGAGCAGATATGCAGAATCATGTTACCACTCTTCTGTAAGAAAAAAAACCTTGAAACACACACACACACACACACACACACACAATCTCTTTCTTTCAAGCTGTTTTTTGGTAACCAGACACATTCTGTAAAAACTGTTTCAGGTAACTAATAGACATGCTGTTTCATCATATAGGAGGAGGAGGAAAGTTTTTATCCATTAAATACACTTTTTGGAATAAACATCTGAAGTTTTTCTAACAAACTCAAGATACGTTTTAGAAACGTTACTCAAGAAAAAGAGGGAAGAAAGTTGAAACTCTTCACAAAAAGCTATTTGTACACCCAACACTCTTAAGTAGAACAGAGGGCAGAAGGGGGCACTGCATAGGCTTGCACCGACACTATGCTATGGTTAGGCACACCTTTAACTAGTTTCAGTTTTATTAACTTGGGCAGAGACATGAAGGAAACCTTAGCCATGACAGCATTTTATGTGAACCATAGCATACACTCTGTACCCTATTAGGATCACTTGTTTCACCCCATTTGCTTTCTAATGGTAACATCTGGTTTCTACTTGGTCCTACCATCTGTATTTACAAAAGAGAAAAATAATTACAACAACAAAAGTTACATTGTGATGCTTATGTTGCACATGCAGTCAGTAATCTCATCCATCTCTTTGAAGTTCAGGAACAGTTAAACTGTTAAACTATCTTAACAGCACATCCTTAAAGCTATCCTAACAGCAAATTAACAAATATGGAAACAACTGCCTCAAACATGATGGCTGATGAGAACTGGCACACACAACTGCAGTTTGACTGTCCCCCATTTCAGTTAACAATCACACTTACATACAGTTTGGCTGCAACATTAGTTTAAGAAGAAAAATCTATCCCTTTTGAAAGCCCTGTCCCAGATACAAGAACAATGGTATCATGCAAGCACCTGCCACAACAGAACTTACCCTTTATGCATGAACAGAGACACTTCCTATTTGACAGTTCAAACCAACTTGTCCCTTATCGCTACTGGGTTAATGCCTCATGCCTCCCTCCAGCCCCTGGAACCTCTGTTTCACTAGAGGCTCCAGGAAAAAACTCCTCCCTCCATCTCAAGCACTCAAAAGAATCCTTCCAATGTTAAATACATACCTCTGAAACAGATTATAGGATACCACCGTTTTAGTGCTAATGTACGAATCATCTTAAGACCATGTCATGGCTTAAGCCCAGCTGGCAATCCAGAACCACGCAGCCTCTAGCTCACTACTCCCTCCTTTCTGCCGCCACTCCTGGAGGGACGGGGAGGAGAATCGAAAGAACTTAACTCCCATGGGTTGAGATAAGAACAGTCCAGTAACTAAGGTATAACACAAACCACTGCTGCTACCACCAATAATAATGATAAGGGAAATAACAACGGAAGAGAATACAACTGCTCACCACCTGCCGACCGATACCCAGCCCAACCCGAGCAGTGATCTCGCCCTCCCATGTAACTGCCCACAGTTTATATAGTGGACATAGCGTGCTGTGGTATGGAATACCCCTTTGGCTAGTTTGGGTCAGGTGTCCTGTCTCTGCTTCCTGCCAGCTTCCCCTCCTCCCTGGCAGAGCATGAGACTCAGAAAGCCCTTAGTCAGAGTAAATATTATTGAGAAACAACTAAAAATATCGGTGTTATCAGCGTTGTTCTCAGGCTGAGTCAAAAACACAGCCCTGCACCATCTAATAAGAAGGAGAAAAATGACTGCTACTGCTGAACACAGGACACAATTAATTGCTGTGAGGCAAACTGAGGTCACTTGCTTGATTCCCTTAAAGCAGAGGAATAAGAAGCTACTAGCAAAGTAAACAGGAAACTTCCCCACCTACTGTACAGCCTCTCTGTGCACCACTAATGGGAAAAGGCAAGCAGCAGACAGTCTTGCAAAGAACTTACGATGGATACAGAGAACTTCAATTATTAGAAGAAACAGGCAGGAATAGATGCTCTCTCACTTAAGGAAACAGCCTGAATCCCATATCTTACTATCAGAGGATGCCTATGCATGAGAGTTGGTGTGTTTTATGATCTTCACATGAAGCCATCACTTTTCTTCCTGTCTGCTGATATTTTTTGGCAAATAGCCTCCCAAATGTTTAATATGATAACCAGTATAGGAAATTCAAAGTTTGTCTGCAGCACAAAAAGGTGCTAATGCCATGACATGTTGAGGGAACCAGGTATAAGCTCCCATGAACTCCATGTAAGAGAGGTGACGTATAGCACCAGTAACACTTCTTCATGCTATAATCTTCTAATGCTTTTCTTCTCATTGCAGCAGAGTGGAGAAAATGAATGAAAAATTATATTTATCTTAATTAGAAAATTGGTAGGATAATTACACTAGCATTTTGCACCATTTTAGGCAGACTCAAAAGAAGCCTCCAAAGGCAGCATTCAAGTACGAACTGATCTCATTTTGCCTTCAGACGCACTGAAAGACCTACTCGGCCACCCTGAGATAGGTAGTCACAAGAAGAAAGTCATACTATGGAGACCCCCAACCACTGGAATTCACAGGCACAGAAGACAAGTTCTCCAGAGAGCATTAAACTGAGGCCACCCAGATTCTTCACCCTCTTCAGAGCACCAGCAGGAGTACTACCTCACAGGCTTCATAAACAGCCAGACTACAGAAGTAGAAAGCATAAGATACCATTTTCAACACTGCAGAGAATTTCTGACTTCTCTTACAAAACACTGATGAACTGTCATACCAAACGTAAACGAAATAATAAAAGGCTTCCCAGGAAAAGTAGGATTTCTACAGCAGTCAGTGTGCAGTACTCAAGAATGAAACGGACATTAGCTTTCCACGTTCCTGTATCTACCCACTTACAAGGGGATAACTTTGCATAGCAGTAAGTGCCAGGCTTTATGTCTTCAGAAACAATTTCTATCAGCATACTTTAAGAAATATTCTGAGGGCAAAGCTGATAAAAGATACCAGGAGTGCCAGCCATACAAATAATTATGAATAGCCAAAGTGCATGGAAAGGTTTGTCAACCCACTACTAAATCACACAGAAGTTGTTACATGGAACTCCCACAGATAAGGGAGTTAGCTACTGCATGATTTCTTCTTTTTGCCTGACAAATACATTGCTATTAGATTGTACCATACAGCATACAATGCATAAGGCGACTGAGAAAGCTGACAGCTACAAAGAGGATATTTTTTTTTTCTTATTTCCTAGTTGAAAACCAAAACAATACTTCATTCCAGTCTGTGGAACACAGTCTGCAAAATACAGTAGCTATGTGAGTCTGCTGCAAAAGAGCTAATTCTTCTTCAAGTAATCTTATTTGAAACACTGTGGAGCACCACACAAGCTAATTTATTTCTTCTAACTGTTAGTGACACAAACTAGTTTCTTATGCTGACACTGCAAGGTAGTATACTAGTAGGAAATTCTTTGTTCATTTCCTTCATTTTGAGTCATTCAGTGCTGTACCTGAAGTAAGAAGAGCAGTAAAATTAAGCCTGTCACCTTTTCAGATTTTTTTCTCTGAACAGAAATGCAAAATACTCAGAAATATGAACTTCCTTTTCCTTTTAAAGTGAAGAAAGCAAAGAAAAAATCCTGGTGATGTAGGACCCTACAAATGGAGACTCTTCAAACTCATTCAGTTTTTAACTAAACAGGCTGAGTCTGATTCTAAGTTCCAAGACTTCTGCTGTCTCCCATTTGTTTGAAGATAATTCCAAATGCCAACATAGCATAATATACATAAGCCAACAACTACAGGAAAGGAAACACCCTTAGGGGTGCTGGCTGCCTAACCTTTGTGGACTTTAAGCAGAGATCTGTCACAACCACACTGTTTAGAAAGACATCCACCTGTTTCCTCAATGCTATTTCTAGAGCACATGACCTGTCCCTGTAAAAATGCAGCTAGCTGGTTTTGGTACTAATGTGGTACAATTTCCCCACCTGCTATTAAGAGCTGTCACCTACTGTGGTGGAAACCAGGACAGCAATTTCCTCTAAGTCAATGAAATCCCAGTAAAATAAACTCAGCATAGAGCAAAATCAACCTTCAGGACATATGCAAGAATCAAAGCCACATGGCAAAAGCTTGTAACGCACACCATACTAAAACAAATCAATCCTAAAGGCAGATGGATTGCAGGCAATCAGGGTTGCTTCCCCTACCCTGAATTTGAGCTAGTTCTCCAGTCATGCAAAAAATCTACTACAAAAACTTTACCCAGAGCTTTACTTAGCAAACTTGCAGTTCATGCCAAGGCAGTCCCTGACAGTCGGCACACTGGAGGCAGCTGGGACACCCAGCCCTCCACTCAGCACTGGTAAGACACCCTTGGAGTGCTGTGCCCAGCTCTGGTCTTCCCCAGGACAAGAGAGATGTCGACCTACTGAAAGAAGAGTAGCAGAGGATCAGAAAGACGATCAAGGGTTTGGAGCATCTGACATAGGGGGAGAGGCCAGACAGCTGCTACTGTTCTGCCTGGAGAAAAGAAAGCTCAAAAAAAACCTGATGGGGGGAGAGTAAAGACAACAGCCTGACTCTTCTCAAGGGAGTCCAGGACAAGAAACAACGGGCACAAACTGAAATACAGGAGATTCCACTTAAACACAAGAAAAAACAACTCTTTTGCTGTGAGGCTGGTAAAACATGAGAAGGTGTAAAGTCTCCATCCTTGGAGATACTCAAAACCTGGCTGGCATGGTCCTGAGCAACCTGTTCTACTCGACCCTGCTTTTAGCATGGGGGTGGACTACATGATCTCCAGAGGCATCTTCCAACCCCAATTACTCTTTAATTCTGTGATAGCTACACAAGATTCCTCTGATACCTGAGGAGTCAGCCACTACTTATAGTGGCCTGACTATTACATAAGCACATTTGAACTTATAACTCTGCAGTAAAACAGTGACTTGTTATTGCAACAGTGCTCTTGCATTTTACATACAAAACTATCCCAAA